AAGACATTCCTGGCACTAAAATAACAAGTTCTCTGTTTGTTAGTCACATCCCCAGGCCCCTCTTATATTTCTTTAGCTTTCCACTTAGAATTTTTATTCTTACAAAAAAATAGAAGATTTACTGTTATGCAGACTACTGCATTAGTGTAGAAATGGTATAAATAATATCAGCGCACTTGTGAAAGAATATTAGACTCACCAGTTGATGTGTATTGGACGCTTGGCATGATTTGTTTACTTTTGAACTTTGGTAAAAATCGAACATTTCTGCTACTTTGAGCTCAATTTCAAGGTACTTTTCATTGTAAAACCATTCAAAATCATCTCAATTTCTATAATATGTCTTCCATTCTATAAAATGAGACAAACAAAACTAGAATACAACAATGAATACCATACACAAATAACCCGCACATAAAAGAGAGAACCTTACGACGACATTTCGGTCCGACTTGGACCATTTACAAAGTCACACTAACCAGAAGTGAAGCAGGACGGCTATATATAGGCAGGAAGAGGTGGTGGTAGTAGTAGTAGTACAAGAATGGTATATAATACCGACAAGATGAAATTAAGACACATGCGCGACACCCGGGCATCCCTATCGTAGACGTTTCGCCAGCCAGCCAGCCACTGGATGGCGAAACGTCCACAACAAAGACACCCAGACGCCACACATGTGTCTCAATTTCATCAGTAGTAGTAGCAGTAGTAGTAGAAGAGGTAGTAGTACTACTACTACTACTACTACTGATGAAATTGAGACACACGTGCGGCGTCTGGGTGTCTTTGTTGTGGACGTTTCGCCATCCAGTGGCTGGCTGGATGGTGAAACGTCTATGATAGGGATGCCCGGGTGTCGCGCAGTTAGAATGATAACAAATTCTCACTACAGGCAACACACTCCACCAATATTCAAAACACTCAACCTACTCACCATACAAAACATCCATACTTATTATTGCACCTATTACATATATAGAACACTTAACTCTAATATTAACCCTCCCCTCAAACATCTCCTTGCCAACCTCAACAGAACACATGACCATAACACAAGGCACAGATCACTCTTTGATGTTCCTCGTGTCCATCTCACGCTATGCAAAAACTCAATGCACATAAAAGGCCCTAAAATCTGGAATTCAAACACTACCTGTTTACAAATTCAAGTCTCTTCTCAAAGTTCACTTACTCACTCAAAACCAAATAAATACTGAATAACTGAACCTTATAAATTGTATATCCAAAATGTTACTCACAATTATATCACATAAATGTTAAACCTAGGACCCAATCTAACTTTGTTATTTTTTTAAATACACTACCTAACAGAATACTCCATTCTACTGAATGAACAGCAATGCATGCAACCATATGACCTGTCTTTGTAATACTCATTTGTGCTTTATAGTTATCTGTTTACAATAATGTTTTATCACTGATTTCATCATTGCTTAGTTAATCTTAAGTTAATTTTAAGCCAGCCCGTAATGTTATGCATATAAGTGGCTTTGGCATGCTGCTCTTACCTGTATTTTTTTTTTTTAATTTTGTACCTCTGTATGTATGCTTAAATTTCTAAATAAATAAATAAATAAATAAATAAATAAATAAATCTTGTCGGTATTATATACCATTCTTGTACTACTACTACCACCACCTCTTCATGCCTATATATAGCCGTCCTGCTCCACTTCTGGTTAGTGTGACTTTGTAAATGGTCCAAGTCGGACCGAAACGTCGTCGTAAGCTTCTCTTTTATGTGCGGGTTATTTGTGTATTGTTCCAGTCACGGTATTGTGCCTTTTTTGTTATAAATACCATACAAAAATACAGTGCAAAGTCGCTGTTTTAATCCAGAAACATGGCCAAAGTTTTTTTTTTCTCATTACACACTGTGTGCTGCAGGAATTTTTTTATACTGCGCACAATGACCACATAGACCCATTCTTTCATATGTAGGCCTACCAGCTTTCTCTCACTAGATTTGAGGGCGCTAGAATTTAGGCATACTAGTACAGTGGACCCTCGCCTAACGATGGCGATACATTTTAACGCAAAAATTTTGCCTCGCCTAGCACTAAAAAACTCGCTCAACGCAATTCGTCAGAGATGCGTCCACATGCGGCCTGAGCCAGCCTCACTTGTTCCGTGGGTGGCAGTGTTTACAAGCCAGCCTCCGCAGTCACATCCAAGCATACAATCAGAACATTTCATATCACAGCGTTTTTAGTGATTTCATCTGCAAAATAAGTGACCATGGGCCCCAAGGAAGCTTCTAGTGCCAACCCTGTGGTAAAAAGGGTGAGAAATACTATCGTACCAGTCAGCTACTGCTGCACCACCGTCAGCTGTTGCTGGACCAGTCAGCTGTTGCTGCACCACAGCTGCTTCTGCACCTCAGTCAGCTGCACCTCAGTCAGCTGCTGCTGCACCTCAGTCAGCTGTTGCTGCACTACAGTCAGCTGCTGCTGCACCACAGCTGCTGCTGCACCACCGTCAGCTGATGCTGGACCGGTCAGCTGTTGCTGGACCAGTCAGCTGTTGCTGCACCACAGCTACTGCTGCACCTCAGTCAGCTGCTGCTGCACCTCGGTCAGCTGTTGCTGCACTACAGTCTGCTGCTGCACCACAGCTGCTGCTGCACCATGGTCAGCTGTTGCTGCACCACAGCTGCTGCTGCACCACAGTCAGCTGCTGCTGCACCTCGGTCAGCTGTTGCTGCACTACAGTCAGCTGCTGCTGCTGCACCACAGCTGCTGCTGCACCATGGTTGGCTGTTGTGCCATGGTCAGCTGTTGCTGCACCACAGTCAGCTGTTGGTTGCTGCTCCACCATCAGCTGTATTACTCGAAGATGTGGAGTGTGTGTTGTTGGTATGGCTTAACATGAAACAATTACCGAGAAACAATTAACCCCAGAGGGTTAGCCACCCAGGATAACCCAAGAAAGTCAGTGCATCATAGAGGACTAACTTATTTCCATTGGGGTCCTTAATCTTGTCCCGCAGGATGCGACCCACAACAATTGACTAACACCCAGGTGAACAGGAAAAAATGCCTGGAACTAGTGCTCATATTGGTGAGGTTAGTGGGAGGATGTGGAAGAGTTCATGGAGGAGGACAATGAAGAACTAGCCACTGATGAGCTGCTAGATCATCTTCAATAGCAAGAGGCCAGACCTGAGGAAACTGCTTCGGAGGAGGGGAGAGAGAAATTGAAGAAGTTGCCTACTTCAAAGATTAAGGAAATGTGTGCAATGTGGCTTAAAGTGCAAACCCTTTTTGATGAAAATCACCCTGACACAGCTATTGCAAGCCGTGCTGGTGACTATTACACTGACAATGTTGTGAAATACTTTAGGAAAGTCATAAAGGAACGAGAGGTACAGGCCTCTATGGACAGATATGTTGTGCGACAGAGGTCCAGTGACTCTGAAGCTGGTCCTAGTGGCATTAAAAGAAGAAGGGAAGTAACCCTGGAAAAGGACTTGCTACCTCAAGTCCTAATGGAAGGGGATTCCCCTTCTAAACACTAAGACCATCCACACTCTCCCCTCCTCCCATCCCATCAATCATCACCAGATCTTCAATAAAGGTAAGTGTTATGTATTGTACATCTCTTCTTCAGTTTGTGTGTATTAAAATTAATATTTCATGTGGTAAAAAAAATTTTTTTTTTCATACTTTGGGGTGTCTTGCATGGATTAATTTGATTTCTATTATTTCTTATGGGGAAAATTAATTCGCCTAATGATAATTTCGCCTAACATTGAGCTCTCAGGAATGGATTAATATTGTTAGGCGAGGGTCCACTGTACATCAAAAACCCTGGGGCGTAAGCTGTACTAGTACGGCCGAAACCCTGAAAGGGTTAAGAACCAACATGGTTCCTCCATTGTGGAGTTAAGAACCAACCTGGTTCTTCTAGTGTGGAGTTAAGAACCAACATGGTTCCTCCAGTGTGGAGTTAACTCTTTGACTGTTGCAAGCCCATTTCTGAAACTCATTCTGTCGCAAAATTTTCGAAAAAAAATTATTTTATCTTATGAAATGATAGAGAATCTTTTCCCAATGTTAATGACACCAAAAGTATGAAATTTGATGGAAAACTTACGGAATTATGCTCTCGTGAAGTTAGCGATCTTGGTGATAGTTATGCATCGGCAATTTCACCGACTTTGAGCCTTATTTTCAGCCAATTCCATTGTCCCAGTCAGCAAAACTCATAGCTATTTCTTTACAACTCCATTTGTTCTATCGATTGAATACAAGAAACCGCGCATTTACCGATTTCAGCTACCCAATAAAGTGGACAGAAATTAGCAATTTGGCCAATTTCATGCAAAGTAAAAAAGATGCCAATTTAAAAATAGGGTCCAGAATAAACAATGCAGACATTCCTGGCACTAAAATAACATTTTCTCTGTTCATCAGTCACATCTCCAGGCCCCTCTTATATTGCTCTTGCTTCCTATTTTGATTTTTTATTCACACAAAAAATAGAAGATTTACTGTTATGCAGACTACTGCATTATTGTAAAAATGGTATAAATAATATCAGCGCACTTGTAAAAGAATATTAGACTCACCAGTTGACGTGTATTGGACATGTGGTGTGATTGGTTTGCTCTTGAACATTTGCAAAAATCGAACATTTCTGCTACTTTGAGCTCAATTTCAATGTCGTTTTCATCGAGATACTAATCAAAATCATCTCTATGTCTGTAATATGTCTTCCATTCTATCAAAATAAGACCAAGAAAACGAGAATACATCCATAAATACTATACAAAAATACACCTCAAAGTCGGTGTTTTAATCCAAACAGTTTTTTTTTTCTTGTTATGCACTGCGTGCTGCAGGATTTTTTTTATACAGTTCACACTGACCACACAGACCCATTCTCTCACACGTGGGCCTACCAGCTTTCTCCTGCTTGATTTGAAGCCGCTAGAATTTTTGAGTATACATACGTCTGAAACACTGGCTGTTAAGACGTATATATACGGCCGAAACAGTCAAAAGGTTAAGAACCAACCTGGTTCCTCTAGTGTGCAGTTAAAAACAAACCTGGTTCCTCTAGTGTGCAGTTAAGAACCAACCTGGTTCCTCCAGTGTGGAGTTAAGGAAGTCTCCAACACCTAAGCTTTCTTTGATTGTTCTTGAATATTCTCTCTCATCTCCCTCATCTTGAAGACTTCCTCCCTTCATCTTGCCTTTCCTCATTCCTTCTTCCATGGCCTCATTACTCTTGCTCTTGTTTAGTGATGTCTCAACTCTTCCAATTGTAAGAGTATGAGCAAACATGGAAGAACCTTGACATAAAATTTTTTTTAGAAAACTAATATGTCAAAAAGGAAATTTACAAAATTTAGTACTTAAATTTAGAAAACATTAAAAATATAAATTTACAAATTGTATATGGGACCATACAAAATTATTATTAAAAGAAAAACTGTTTGTAATATTTGAGGAAACAATTTAGTAAAATATACATACAGTAGACTGTCAATTAACCCTTAAACAGTCCAAACAGATCGACGTTCAAATTCGTAGTGCTACAAAAGTAGATCTACTTTTTTTTACATATTTTCAAATATAACAAAAAAAAATGTAGATAAAAGTTTTTTTTACACGTTTTCAAATGTAAAACAAAAAAGATCTACATTTTTTACATACTTTCAGATGTTGAAAAAACGTATATATACATTTGGACCATTTAACCCTTTCAGGGTCCAAGGCCAAATCTGAAGTGGTGCCCCAGTGTCCAAGAATTTTCAAAAAAAAAAATTTTTATTTTTTCTTATGAAATGGTAGAGAATCTTTTTGTGAATGTAATAAAACAAAAAGTATGAAAATTGATGGAAAATTGACGAAATTATGCTCTCGTGAATTTTGATGTGTCAGCGATATTTACGAATTGGCGATTTTGCCGACTTTGACTCCCATTTTAGGCCAATTACATTATTCCAGTCGACCAAATTCTTAGCTATTTCACTAGTATTACTTCTATTCTATCGATTGAGCACAAGAAATCGCCAAGTCAACTGTTTCAACTACAAAATAAAGTGACCGGAAATTGGTAATTTGGCCAATTTAACACAAAGTTCAAAATATTCCAATTTCAAAATAGGGTCCAGAATAAACAATGTAGGTATTCCTGGCACTAAACTAACATTTCCTCTTTTCATTAGTTATGTTTTGAGGCTTTACAAATAAATTCCATTTTGATTTTTTATTCACATAATGAATTTTTATTCACACCAAAAAATAGAAGATTTACTGTTATGCAATATTGTAATAATTGTATAAATATCATCACCACATTTGTGAATGTATATTAGACCCACCAGCTGGCGTGTATTAGATGTGTGAGGTCGTTTGTTTACTCTCGAACATCGGCAAAAATTTAACATTTCCGCCACTTTGAGCTCAGTTTCAAGCCATTTCCAGTGCTAAAACCAATCAAAATTATCTCTATTTCTGTAATATGTCTTCCATTCTATCAAATGAGACCAAGAAATCACAAATACAACTATAAAAAACATACGAAAAAACACTGCAAAGTTGCTGTTTTAATCGAAAATCACGGTCTCAGTTTTTTTTCTCTCATTATACACAGTGTGCTGCAGGATTTGTTTTATGTGGTGCACACATACCACATAGATGTATTCTCTCATATCTAGGCCCAAATTCACCACTCACAGTTTATCAGAGTGAGCTGAGCTCATGACGTAGATCTACGGTTTGGACCCTGAACGTAAAGCCGTAGATCTACGGGACGGACCCTGAAAGGGTTAAGGATTAAGAAGCGATCATCTACGATGTTTCTGATATATGACAGTTGAAAACTTGTGGCATTTTTTTTTTATGACGGTATAACTTCAGGGAGGAGAATTTGGAGCACCGTGGAGATGGACTGCAGGAGTTTTCCCCTCTGTCTCATTGGTAGCCAGCCTGTGGGTCAGAAGGGGATAGGCTACTAGGCCTAGTAGCCTCCCCCACTTCCCCCCATTCCACCTCTCATATCTCGGTGCTCCATGTATTTGTTAATCGATTTTTTATCGTTTCATCATCACAGTTTGTGTCTTTATAGTAACCATGGCAGCCAAGAGGAATGTGAGTGATGCTGCAAGTGGCAAGACAAAGTTTAAGTGTTGAAGTCTTGGTGTTGTGAAGAAAATTGAGATATTAGATACGCATAGAAGTGGTGCAGGTGTGGTGGAGACAGTAAGAGTTTATGGTCTCAATGAAACATCAGTTCATTCAATTAAAAGGATTGAGGTAAATATACAGGCTTGTGCAATAAGTAATCCAGGTTGTGACATCAACTGGTCAATAAGACAGAAAAGTTACTGAGTGCATTGAACAAAACCACTGAGAAGAAAGATGCACCACTTAATTTCATCTTGATAAGGAAAAAGAGCCTTAGAGTACTATAAAACAGTGTGTGATACAGAAGGAAGGCATGAACAAGAGTGTTTGTTTAGCACAAGTTGGTTTCACAAGTTCAAGTTGCATAACAGGTTACATAATATTAAGTTTTCTGGTAAAAGTAATTCAGCTGACCAAACAGTTACATTAAATTTCGCTGCTGACTTACAGGAACTTATTTCCGAGGGTGGCTACGAGCCACAGCAAGTGTTTAATGTGTAGTGGAAGAAGATACCAACAACAACTTAAATCAGTCAGGAAGAGAAAAGTGGGCTGGGATTCAAGGCAGCCAAGGATCACATCAACTTGCTCTTTTGCAGTAATGCATCCATGACTGTGTTATGAAAGGTGTAGATAAAAGCACCTTACCAGTTCTTTGGAGGTCAAACCAGTCAACATCAATGACAGAGGAACTATATATTGACTGGTTGAAGTATCACTTTATTCCTGAAGTCATGTTTTACCTGCACAGCAAGAATTTTGCATTCAAGGTTCTCTTCACTCTTGATAATTCTCATTCTTAACCAGAAGCTTTGTTGGATGTGCATCCACCTATAAAAGTTGTGGTTTTACCATCAAATATAGCATCTTTAACACAACCACTGGATCATGAAATTATTAGGTCATGGTGTCCTGTAGCTTGAACACTAGTGCATTCAGCTCACACACTGAGGTCAGGAGTTCGAATCCCCGGTATAGTTAGAGAACGTTAGGACATGTTTCCATAAGACACTTGCTGTCCATGTTCACCCATCAGTATAAAATGGGTACTTGGGTGTTAGTCTGGTGTGGATCGCATCCTGGGACAAAATTTACCTAATTTGCTGGAAATGCTCTCCATAACAAGTGGCTTTCTATATACTAGTATGTCACTGATGTCAGCTAGGCCTGTATACCTTGTATGTGTACATGTACTTGTAGAAATAAAAGATATTATTTTATTATTATTCAAGTGTAACTACATGTGAAACGTGATGCAGGAACTTGTTACATCAATGGACACTGACTCTGACCTTGCAGTACCAAACTTTTTGCATACATTAAACATTGCAGATGTCAGCAACTATGTCAGAAGGGCATAAAATGAAGTGCCCCAATCAACAACAAACGCAGGCTGAGGAAAGTTATAGCCTAATTTGGTAAATTCTTTCACTGGTTTTTCTCTCACTTGAGTCAGGTGAGCAAAATAGTTCAGCTGGCAAGATTACCAGGTGATGGCTTTGAAGATATGCAGGAAGATGTTTATGAGCTCTTAGAAGATGATGATGAAGACAGGAGTCCAGAGGAAATGTTGGCAGAGCTCAATACACAGATACAAGGGAGGCAGATAACAGAGGAAGATGAGGAAGAAAAACAGTTAACATTACAATGGTTACGTGAGCAGGTCCATATTACATATTAGTAAAGCCGTAGATTTTTTCACTAAAGAGGACCCTGACCAATCTAGAAGCACTGCTCTGAAACAGGTTCTAGAGCAGCTGATTCCTTACCATCATCTGTAAAATATGTTGCACAGTAAGAGACCAACTATGCATTACAGAATTTCTCAATACTTCAATACAACTATCGACTTCAGTGCAGAGCCTCAACTATTCACCTCAACCCAGTAGGGTCACAGCATCTCTCTCCTCTGTTCAGAATTATCAACAAACACGAGCAATCACAATTTAAGGTAAGAAATATTATTTATTTAATATTTGTAGCCTTAAACAATACATTAAACATAATACATCATGACAACCAATTACAATTTCATTATCATTTTCATTTTTATACAATTTGAAGACCTAAAGAAAAAAGTTGTTTGCCATTTTGGGGGCCCAACAAATGTAACCCTACATTCATGTTTATTATTTTTGGCATTTGCCTTGTTCTTAACATGGTTTTAGGCAATACTGAAATTGTTTTATTTATTATTTTTAGTTTTCATTGTTTGTTAGGCCTAGTGCTATTGCACACTTGATAAATGATACTATTAACATGTTTTTAGGCTGTTATATGCATTGGCAAGTGAATAGTAAGGTTATTCAGGTACAGTACACATAAATACAGTTATATAGCATCATATGTGTAGATTACCCACCAGGATGACCCAAAAGTCAAACAAAGTGACTTATTTCCACTGGGGTGTGATTCACTTTAAGACAGTATTCACTTGACACAGGCATAGTGAGGTATGCCTATACATTATACAACTATAAATAATTATGCCTGTATATTATATAAATATGAATAGTATTTTATTAACCCTTAACCCTTTGACTGTTTTGGTTGTATATATACGTCTTACGAGGTACCGTGTTTGACGTAGTATATATACTCATAAATTCTAGCAGCTTCAAATCAAGCAGGAGAAAGCTGGTAGGCCCACATGTGAGAGAATAGGTCTGTGTGGTCAGTGTGCACCATATAAAAAAAATCCAGGAGCACGCAGTGCATAATGAGAAAAAAAAAAACTCGGCTTTTTTTTTTTAATTAAAATGCCGACTTTGAGGTCTATTTTCGTATAGTATTTATGGTTCTATTCTCGTTTTCTTGGTCTCTTTGATAGAATGGAGATTTTCATTGGTTTTATTATAAAAAGAACCTGGAAATGGAGCTCAAAGTAGGGGAAATGTTTGATTTTTGCCGATGTTCAAAAGTAAACAAATGATATCATTGTCCAATAAATGTCCAACTAGCCATTCTAATATGCAGTCATGAATGGGTTGACATTATTTGTACAATTATTACAATATTGCAGTCTGCATAATAGTAAATCTTCTATTTTTTGTTTGAATAAAAATTCAAAATAGAAAGCAAGAGTAATATCAGAGGGGCCTGGAGACGTGACTGATGAACAAATAAAATGTTATTTTAGAGCCAGGAATGTCTGCATTGTTCATTCTGGACCTTATTTTGAAATTGTCATATTTTTTAATTTTCGTGAAATTGGCCAAATTGCAAATTTCTGACCACGTTATTGGGTAGTTGAAATTGGTAAATGGGCAGTTTCTTGTACTCAACTGATAGTAAAAATTGAGTTCTAAAGAAATAACTATGAGTTTGGTCGACTGGAACAATGGAATTAGCCAAAAATAGGGCTCAAAGTGGGCGAAATCGCCGATTTGTAAATATCGCCGAGGTCGCTAAATTTGTGAGAGCGTAATTCCATCAGTTATCCATCAAATTTCAATTTTTTGATGTCATTACAATCGGGAAAAGATTCTCTGTCATTTCATAAGATTTTTTTTTCTTTTTTCTTTTTTTTTTTTTTTTAATTTTGCGACACCAGGAGACACCTCAGGATTGGGGGCTGTGACAGTCAAAGGGTTAAACTGTTAAAACGCAGATCTATGTTTGTAAGCATAGCGCTTCGACCTTGATTTTCTCCATAAGAAAGCATATAAAAAAAAAAGGTACATATACGTTCAGAGCGCTACGCTAGTGAACGTAGGTCTACATTTGGACAGTTTATGAGTTAAAAATATAATACATAAACACACACTACTAGAGGTGTGCCAGTATGTTTAAAACACATCATGTTTACATGTACTTTTACACTAGTAATTTTGGGCATTACTTACTTACATACACTTAACTTACCAAATATATATGGATGAGAAAATGCCGGGAGCTTTAATACATGACATTCTGCAGTGTGTATTTCTTTGGCATAATTTGGCAGCCAAATGTTACATCTCCCACATGGAATATAGGAATCTGCTTCTAATTTCCAGTTCATTTTCTGAAATTTAACCAAAATTTAAGTAATATTGAATTATGGTTACTTCTGGAAGATAAAATATCTTAACGTTAGTTTTTATGTCTGTCCAGTCAAAAATGAAAGACAAAACTGGACATGTTTATGTTTGTTTTAGTGCATTCTTCAGTGGAAAAATAACCACACATGCAGTATAATGCATTATGATAAAGCCCACTGTGAGGGTAACACACAGTCAATTAAGGTTCGCATTAACTGCATTTGTGTCTACTTTTTCCACTGTGTTGATATTTTATACAATTTATCACACTCGAGTACATACAGCCTCTCCTCACTTAATGACAGAGTTCCATTCCTAGGACCACATCGTTGAATGAATTCATCGCTAAGTGAGGAGCATATTATATTATAATGGTAGTGAATTTATGTCAACCATCTTTGATATTGTTTAATGTCATCTTTGCACCATTTATAACATTTCTGGTATTTTTAAATGTTTATACAGTAGTGTACTGTATACTGACATAAACAGAATAGAGGAAATCAGCTCTAATATACATTATTTAGACATAGATACTGGTCAGAGAGCTCATTGTAAGTCTGAGGCGTTGGTAAACGAGTACGTCATTAAGTGAGGAGAGGCTGTACTACAAAATCCATTGCATAATTTCATTGGTACAAAGAAAGTCACTATCATGCCAGGGCATTTTGGACAGACTTAACCTGATACCATGGTCTCTTTAAAAGAGTGGTAAATTTCAAATATTCATTATTTTACTCTATTACTAATATGAGGTAGCCAGTTTTTTTTAAGTTAATAAGCCTTATAGTTTTAATGCAGTACTACATGTACTCAAAACATCCCCAAATATCTGGAGTGTACAGCATATTAAAATGCTTCCTTCCAGCATACATAAGGGGGATTACCAATAGACCCCTGACTGTCTTCAAGCAGGCACTGGACAGGCACCTTAAGTCAGTACCTGACCAGCCAGGGTGTGGTTCGTACCCTCGGTTGTGTGCAGCCAACAGTAACAGCTTGACTGATCAGGCCCTGATCCACCATGAGGCCTGGTCACAGACTGGGCTGTGGGAGCACTGACCCCTGAAACCCTTTCCAGGTATACTCCAGGTATAATAATTCTCACAGCCTGGTTGATCTGGCACTTGGTGGAGGTACCTGTAGAGGTCCTCTTGTAAACTTCTACACTTGTCCTAGCACTGTTTAAGATATCTTCTGCTAAGATGTTAATTAATCTGGACTCATGGATCTTACTAAGATGTTCTCTTTTGTGCTCATGCCACCAATGATCTTCACTGGATGTATCATATATTTCCTGCAATATCTCTCACTCTCCTAGGTAGTAGGTTGGTAGACAGCAACTGTCCAGGGAGGTACTACCGTCCTGCCAGGTGAGTGTAAAACGAAAGCCTGTAATTGTTTTACATGATGGTAGGATTGCTGGTGTCCTTTTTTCTGTCTCATAAACATGCAAGATTTCAGGTACGTCTTGCTACTTCTACTTACACTTAGGTCACACTACACATACATGTACAAGCATATATATACACACCCCTCTGGGTTTTCTGCTATTTTCTTTCTAGTTCTTGTTTATTTCCTCTTATCTCCATGGGGAGGTAGAACAGAATTCTTCCTCCGTAAGCCATGCATGTCATAAGAGGCGACTGAACTGCCGGGAGCAAGGGGCTAGTAACCCCTTCTCCTGTATATATTACTAAATTTGAAAGGAGAAACTTTCGTTTTTCCTTTTGGGCCACCCCGCCTCGGTGGGATATGGCCGGTGTGTTGAAAGAAAGATCTCTCACTCTAATATGTTTTTATGGCAGAGTGAAGATTTGGGACCAGGCCTTCAAGTACCTTAAGTAAGTCTATTCAGGTACATTACACACAAATACAGTTACATAAATTATGATACACAGCAGCATATGTGTAGATTACATAGGATAAACCAAGACTCAGAAAATGACTTATTTCCACTGGGATCCTTCCATTTTTAAATCATGTATCTCTCTGCCACTTCAGTGAGTATTTAGGACTCTGAGGCAGTCCCAGTGTACCTAGTGTAATATACAGGATTGAGAGGGAGTGTACCTTTTGTTACTATCAATAGAGATGAAATGAGAATGTGAGATGATCATGAGTGAGTCCGGTGTACTATTACAATCCAGTGTGAATGTAACATGATCATCATGAGTGAGTCCAGTGTACTATTACACTCCAGTGAGAGTGTAACATGATCATCATGAGTGAGTCTGGTGTACTATTACACTCCAGTGAGAGTGTAACATGATCATGAGTGAGTCCGGTGTACTATTACACTCCAGTGAAAGTGTAACATTCTCACGATCAACAGTGACAGTGATGGAAGATCCACCTGGACAATTAAAGATCAATAACCCTGCCACATCAGCCTCCTGTATACAATAACCCTGTCACAGCAACCTCCTGTATACAATAACCCTGTCACAGCAACTTCCCTCATACAATACCTTTGCCACATCAACCTCCCTCATACCTGGAGTATACTTGGAGAGGGTTTTAGGGATCACTGCCCCCGCAGCCCGGTCTGTGACCAGGCCTCGAAGTGGATCAGAGCCTGATCAACCAGGCTGTTACTGTTGGCTGCACACAAACCAATGTATGAACCACAGCCCAGCTGCTCAGGTTCTGACTTTAGATGCCTGTCCAGTGCCTTTTTGAAGACAGCAAGGGGTCTATTTTTAATCCCCCTTAAGTATGCTGGGAGGCAGTTGAATAGTCTTGGGCCCCTGACACGTACTGTGTTGTCTCTTAGTGTACTCGTGGCACCCCTGCTTTTCATTGGGAAGATGTTGCATCTCCTGCCCAGTATTTTGCTTTCGTGCAAATTTAGGATTAGTCCCTCTAGGATTTTCAAAGTGTATACGTATTTTCATGTATCTTTCTTGCCTGTGTTCCAGGGAGTACAAATCAAGTTACTTCAACCATTCCCAGTAATTTAGGTGCCTTATGGTACTTATGTGTGCCGTGAAAGTTATCTGTACATTCTCCAGGTCTGCAATTTCACCTGCTTTGAAAGGGGCCATTAGTATACAGCAATATTCCTGCCTAGAGAGAACAAGTGACTTGAAGAGAATAATCATGGGCTTGGCATCCCTAGTTCTGAAGGTTCACATTACCCATCCTATCATTTTCCTAACAAATGTGGTAGATACAGTGTTGTGATCTTTGAATGTGAGATTCTCTGACACATTTTGCAGTGTTTTAAAAATTGAGGTTGGAGAGTTGAAGGAGGAGGTCTTGCTTCTCCAGGAGGAAATTAGGAGGCTGAAGGTTCACTTCAATGGGTTTGGGAGTGAGTGTGAGGTGGCTAGAATGGTGGAGGGTAATGAGGATACCAGCAGCGAGGTGCAGTCTGTCACTTGCTGCGAGGAGGCTGTAGGTGGGGAGGTAGTAGCGGATACCGGCAGTGAGGTGCAGTCCAGCACCTGCTACAAGTGGCAAGTGGTTCCCAGTAATGGGAAGAGCATTAAAATAAGGAAAGTTAAGAGAGAAGATTTGAAGGTAGGAAATCGCTTCTCTGTTCTTCAGGATGAGTTTACTTCAGTGGCCAGTGAAGGTAAAGGTACTACTTCCCCTGCAAGTAGAGGTAAATGCATCCTTGTGGTTGGGGACTCACAGGTAAGATATATGGACCGTGCTTTCTGTAATAGGAATAAGAAGGTAAGAGATAGTGTGTGCTTCCCTGGAGCTGGTGTTAGTGACATAGTCAACAGGTTGGATAATATCATGTCAGGTAATGGGAAGAAGCCTATTGTCTGTCTCAGTGCTGGTAGAAATGATACTGGGAAGGGTAGGAGAGAAGAGCTGCTAGATAAGTAAGGTCAGCTATAGATTTAATTAAGCCTAAGGGAGGGGTACCAATCATATGTAGCATCTTGCCTAGAAGGGGAGTGGGCAATGAATGGTTGTCTAGGGCAATTGGTGTAAATTGCTGGCTAGGCAGACACTGTAAGGAACTTGCAATCCCATTCATTGACAACTGGAACAACTTTTATGGCAAACATGATATGTATGAAAGGGATGGGATACATCTCTCTGGGGCAGGCGTGGTAGCACTTGCAAACTCAATCGAGAGGGTCATTGCTGAAATGCCTAGGATTTTAAATTGATAATAGATAGAGGTATGGGTGTGTGTGGGAAACAGGCAGGTTGGAACACTAGGGTTGAAAACAGTAAATGTATAAAAGACATTCATCATGAAGTTATAAATAAAGACAATAGATCAGGTCAGCAAACAAAGGGAGACAGCAGAGGGCAGCAAGGGACTAGCTCCCTTAAGGTTCACTATACTAATAGCAGGAGTGTAAGAAACAAGATATATGAGCTAAGATTTACTGCAAGTGCAGGAAACATAGATGATATTGCTATAACAGAGACCTGGCTCAATCTGAAAGATAGAGAGATGCCTTCTGAATGTCACATACAAGGCTATAAATTATTCCACACTGACAGGGTCAACAGGAAGGGTGGTGGAGTAGCAATGTATGTCAGAGACAGTTTAAATTGTTGTGTTGGATAAGATATAAAATTAGAAGCATCAGCCACTGAATCTATTTGGTTACAGCTTCTTGAAGGCCGTGAAAAACTAATTTTGGGTGTGATTTACAGGGCCCCAAATCTCGATAGGGAGTGCAGTAAACTTCTATGGGATGAAATTCGTAAGGCATCTACATACGAAAATGTTGTGCTAATGGGAGATTTCAACTATAGACAGACTGACTGGAGCAATTTGACACGAAATTTAGAGTCAAGTGACTTTCTTGATACGATACAGGATTGGCTTTAAAACAGTTTGTGACTGAACCAACTAGAGGAAATAACCTGCTTGACTTGGTTCTTGCCAGCAGGGAAGCGCTAATTAATAATCTTGAGGTTAATGATGAGCTTGGGGAAAGTGATCACAAATCACTCAGTTTTAATATATCATGGAATACCCCTAATAATGGCAGTCAAGTCTCTG